GAAAATTGTTTTATAATTTTCTTTTTTTGTTTGGTCCTATTCAACTTTGATATCAGGTTAATACTAGCTTCACATAGTGAGTTTGGTAGTATTCCTTCCCTTTCTATTTTATGGAATAATTTTAAAAACATTGATGTCAGTTCTTCCTTAATAGTCTTGTAGAATTTAATAGTAAATCCATCTGGTCCTGGACTTTTCTTGGCTGGGAGACTTTTTATTACTGCTTTGATCTCATTGCTTGTTAAACATCTGTTTAAGAGTTCTATATGCTCTTTGGTCCATTTAGGCAGTCTTATGCATTTAGATATTTATCTATTTCTTCTACATTTTCCAGTGTAGGATATAAGGTTAGAAATTTTTCCTAATTATCATCTGAATTTTATTGGTAGTTATTATTTCATTTCATTTATATTCATTACTTCATTTTATTTATTATTTAATTTCCAATTAAATTAATTTGTCTTTTCTTCTATCTTTTGGCTAGCTTGCCTAAGGGTTTGTCAATCTTGTTTATGTTTTCAAAGAAATAACTTTTATTTCATTGACTTTTAACATTTTGTTTTAGTTTCCACTTCACTAGTTTCTTCCCTGATCTTGATTTTCCTGTATGCCAAATAATTTTGAATTTAGTTGTTTCCTGCTTTTCTAAGATTTTGAAATACATAGTTATTTTGTTTATTTGAGATCTCTCTGACTTTTTAATGTAGGCATCCAGTGTAAACTTTCCTTTGAACACCACCTTTGCTCTGTTCTAAAGGTTTTGACAAAATGTGTTCAATTTCATTTGATTTTATGATTTTTTTATCTCTCCTCATTTCTATGATGACACAGTGATCATCCATCAGTGTATTGTTTCAGTTTTCATACGTTTAAATTTTTTTCTACTGTCCCTTATTTTTTCTGGGATTTACTGATAATTAGGTTTTTTCAATTTTCTTACTTTTTTGACACTTTGTTTAGGATGTATAATATGATCTATTTTGAGAAAGTTCTATGGGCTGCTTGGAAGAATGTGTTCATTGCAACTGTTCCGTAAAATATTCTTTAGATGTTAAGCCCATTTGGTCTATAGTGTTATTTAATTATGAAGATTCTTTGCTGATTCTTTTTTGGTCTGGGTTAACCATCCATTGGTAAGAGAAGGGTAATGAAATCTTTCATTATTTTTGTGATGGGATCTATCAGTTCTTTTATGTTCAATAATGCTTGTTTTACAAAATTGGGTGCGTTGATATTTGGTGTGTAGATGTTTGTAATTGGTATCTCCTCTTGGGATATCCTATTGAATAATATCTCTCTTCATCAGTATTAAATGACTATCCTCCTCTTATGGCTAAGTTTATTTTGAAGGATATCTTCTCAGATATGAATGTAAATACTTCTGCTTGTTTTTGTATTTCATTTGCTTAGAATATATTTTTCTTTTTTGTATAACTTATTGTTATTTATTATCGTTGTACTGGGGGTACATTGTGATATTTACAAAAGTTTTAACAATACATCATAGTTGAATTTACCCCTCAATCATTCTTTTTGTTCCCTTTTCTACCTTTCTCCTCTTCTTATGGTGATTTCAACCTGACTTATTAGGCATATTCCTAGGAGTGGTATTGCTGAATCATATGGTAGTTCTAGTTTTAGTTTTTTGGGGACCTCCATACTGTTTTCCATAGCGATTGCACTAATTTACATTCCTACAAACATTGTATGAAGGATTCCTTTTTCCCCACATCCTCACCAATGTTTATTGTTGCTGATGTTCTTGATGATAACCTTTCAAACAGGAGTGAGGTAGAATCTTAATATGGTTTTGATTTGCATTTCGTTTATGGCTAGGAATGTTGAGCATTTCTTCAGGTGTTTTGGCTATTTGGGCTTATTCCTTTGAAAAGACTTTTCAGTTAATTTATCTATTTCTTCAGTGGGTCATTGATTTTGGGGGAGGTTTTTCTGAGCTCCCAGTATATTCTGGTTATTATTCTCTTGTCAGATTTAAAGCTGGCAAAGATTTTCTCCCATTCTTTGAGCTATCTTTTTAATCTGATGACCATTTCTTTTCTTGGGCTGAAGCTTTTTAACTTCATGTAGTCCTATTTGTCAAACATTTCTCCTAGTTGCTGAGCCATTTGAGTTCTATTTATGAAGTCATTGTCTATGCCTATTAATTACAATATATTCCCTGCTTTTTTCTGTACTAGTTTCAAAGTTTCAGGTCTTATATTAAGGTCCTTAATCCACTTTCAATTGATGCTTGTATAGGATGAAAGACATGGATCTAGTTTTTTTTTTCTGCATACAGATATTCAGTTTCCCAGTCACTTTTGTTGAAGAGACTGTCTTTTCTCCATCATATGTTCTGGATTCCTTTGTCTAAAATCAGGTGGGCATAGCTATGAGAACTCATATCTGAGTCTGCTATTCTATTCCATTGGTCTTCATGTTTGCTTTTGTGCCACTTCCAAGCTGTTTTTATTATTATTACTCTAGCATTGTAAGAAGTCAGGTATTGTGCTACCTTCACAACTGCTCTTTTTGGTCAGTATTGCCTTGGCTCTTTGTGGCCTTTTGTGCTTCCAAATGAAATTTAGGGTTGATTTTTCAATCTCTGTGATGAATGTCATTGTAATTTTGATGAGGATTACATTGAACATGTAGAATGCTTTTGGTAATATAAGCATTTTCACAATATTGATTCTTCCAATGCATGAGTATGGAAGATCTTTTCATCTTCTGTAGTCTTCTTTGATTTATTTCCCTAATGATTTATAGCTTTCATTATAGGGGTCTTTCACTTCCTTTATTAAGTTTATTCCTAGGTATTTTTTTGAGGCTACTGTAATTGGAATTGGTTTCCCATATTCTGCTCAGTCAAACCATTGTTGATATATAAAAAGGCTACCTACTTTTGTAAATTGATTTTGTATCCTGCTACTTTGCTGTAGGTATTTATGGTATGTAGGAGTTTTTTAGTATAATTTTTTAGATCTTTTAGGTATAAGATCATGCATCTGAAAATAGGGGTAGTTTCACTTCTTACTTTTCTATTTGTATTCTGTTTATTTCTTCTTCCTGCCTTATTGCTCTGGCTAGGAATTCCAAGTCAATGTTGAATAAGAGTGGAGAGAGTAGACACCACTGTCTCATTCCCGACTTTAGAGAAAATGGTTTCAGTTTTTCTTCATTTAGTATGATGTTGGGTATAGTCTTGTCATACATAGCCTTTATTATGTTGGGTACATTCCTTCTATTCCTAGTTTCATCAAAGCTTTCATCATGAAAGGATGTTGAATTTTGTTGGAATGACTTTTATTGAAGTACTCATGTGATTTTAGTCTTTGCTTCTATTAATATGCTGTATTACATGTAATGATTTGCATATGTTGAACCATCCCTGCATCCCTGAGATGAAACCAACTGGATCATGGTGTGTGTTATTTTTGATAAGTTGTTAAATTTAGTTTGCCAATATTTTATTGAGGATGTTTGCATCTAAGTTCATTAAGAAGATTGTCCTATAATTCTCTTTTTTTCTTTGTTTCCTTGTCCAGTGTTGGGATGAGTATAATACCGGATTCATAGAACGAGTTTGGCAGTGTTCTTTACCTTTCTATTTCATGGAAAAGTTTGACAATTGTTGGTATTAGTTCTTCTTTAAAGGCCTGGTAGAATTAAGCAGTGAATCTATCAGGTCCTTGATATTTCTCTTTTGCTTCAATTTCATTGCTTGTTATAGATCTATTTAGGTGATTTATAACCTCTTGGTTCAATTTTGGTTGGTCAAATATATCTAGCAATTTGTCCATTTCTTTATGATTTTCACATTTATTTGAATATAGATTTTCAAAGTAGTCCCTAATTATTACCTGAATTTCCTTGGTGTTTGTTGTGATTTTCCTTTTTTTCCCAATTTATTGAGTTTGGTCTTTTCCCTTCTTATTTTAGTCAGATTTACTAGATTTTTTTTTCAATTTTTCTTTTTGAAGAACTAGCTTTTCGATTCATTGATGTTTTTTGGATTTGTTTTTGTTCTCTATTTCATTGATTTTGGCCTTTATGTTATTATTTCTCTCCTTCTTCTAGTTTTGGGTTTAGCTTTTTCTTATTTTTCTAGGAATTTGAAATATAGCATTATGTTGTTTGAGATATTTCTGTGTATTTAATATATGCACTCATGGCTATAAACTTTCCCCTTTGCCATGTCTCATAGATTTTGGTGGGCTGTACTTTCATTTTCATTAAATTCCAGAAATTTTTTGATTTCCTTTCCTCCCTTCTTGCTTTTATTTTGATGGGTTTACCTTTATATATTATTTGATTTTTCTCTCTTACCTTGTTCTTTGTGCTAATTGCTCTAACTGTAATATGCCACGTATAGGTTCTACTTTGGTCATGTCTGTGTGGTGTTCTGGAGGCTTTCTGTACCTTGATGGGCATGTCTTTCTCAAGATTTGGGAAATTTTCTGGTATTATTTTGTTGAATGTATTATTTATACCTGTGCATGCACCTGTTCTTCTTCACTGACCATGACTCACTGATGTGGTCTTTTGATGGAGTCATAGAATTCTTACATATTCCTTTCATAACTCTTTAGTCTTTTGTCTAAGTATTCATCTGGTTTTTTTTTCCTTAATATCTGTTTTGTCTTTGAGACCTGAAAGTCTGTCTTCCACTTATTTCAGTCTGCTAGAGTGGCTTTCAACTGTGTTTTGTATTTGACTTAAGGAAATCTGTTTCCAGGTTTTCAGTTTGATTTTCTTTTTGGAGGTTTTCCATCTTTGTTAAACACCAATTTCATTCTTGAACTGTCTTCTTTATTTAATTTATCTTTTATTTATATAACTTACTTTGTTTTGTTTTGGAGTTTGTTGAAATCCTCTTTGAGTTTATTTAGTTTTTTTCTGTGTCATCTTGATTTTTTCATCTGTGTCCTCTTGGGATTCATTGAGTGTTTTTGTATGTCCTATTTGAGCACCCCGTTAAGATCATTAAGCATTCTTACCATAATTTTTCTGACCTTTGGAACTGAGGTTACATCCTCTTCACTTTCCACCAAATCCTCCATTGTGTAATAATAGCCTTTTGAATAGTCACTTATTTTCTTTCCATATAAATGTGTTCATGTATGGATGGAAAATTGAAAACAATTCATGATTAACCTAGAAGGTAACACACATGCACAGGAAATCAATGTGAGTCAATGCCCTGTATAGCTATCCTTATCTCAACCAGCAAAAACCCTTGTCCCTTCCTATTATTGCTTATACTCTCTCTACAACAAAATTAGAAATAAGGGCAAAATAGTTTCTGCTGGGTATTGGGGGGGGGAGAGGGAGGGGGCGGAGTGGGTGGTAAGGGAGGGGGTGGGGGCAGGGGGGAGAAATGACCCAAACCTTGTATGCACATATGAATAATAAAAAAAAAAGAAAACAATTCATGTAAATTTAAGCTGTGTAATCTTATTTGGGGAGATTTTCACTACTTTCATTATTTTTTCTGTTTTACTTTGCAATGATTTTGCAACATTTATTCATTAAAAAGTTATGTTCGAGAAGGCAAAAATGATATCTCAGAATGGGACAAAGTGTTATCTGAGATACAATGATTAATAATATTTAGAGTAATTACTTAGGAAAACAAATAATCATTTCTAAATTGAATGGTATAGAAGTTACTACATTGTTTGCAGCATACTTAATCTCATTTGCAATAAAATGCTCTAATCTTACAGAGTGGGGATCTATTATTCTCATCATCATTTTTTCTTTCTTTTATTTTATCGATTTTACATTTACATACATGTGCATACATTGTTTGGACCACCTCACCCCTCCTCCTCCTCCCTACTTCCAGGCAGAACCTGTTCTGCCATCTTGCTCTCCAATTTTTTGAAGAGAAAACTTAAGAGATAATGAGAAAGACACAGCATGTTTGCTAGTTTGAAGTAAAGATAGTTATACAGAGCAATTCCTAGCACTGCTTCCATGCACTTGTGTATTGCAACCCATGTTGGTTCATCTCTGCCAGACCTCTTTTCTACTTCCCGGTCCCCTTCCCAGAGTGGCCCCTGCCAGTTTAAGATTACTATATTCGCTCCTTTACAGTGAGCACATTAACTACATTCAAGTTTTATATTTCCTTCCCTTTCCTTATTCCTCCCATGCACATTTTCCCCCTCAGTGTGTGACCCATGTCTAATAATATTGCTGCATTTGTTTTAGGTCTATAATCCACATATGAGGGAAAACATGCAATTTTGGTCTTTGTGAGCCTGGCTAACTTCATTTTAGATGATGTTCTCCAGTTCCATCCATTTACTTGTGAATGACAAAATTTCATTCTTTTTTGTGGCTGAATAAAATTCCAGTGTATATAAACACCACATTTTCATTATTACTCGTCAGTAGTGGGGCATCTGGCTGTTTCCATATCTTGGCTATTGTGAATAGTGTGCAATAAGCATAGGTGTGCAGGTGCTTTTGAATAACCTTAGTCACATTCCTTTGGGTATATTCCTAGGAATATTATTATTGGATCATATGACAAATCTATGTTTATTTTTTTGACAAGCCTCCATATTGTTTTTTTTTCCTTTTTCTTTTATTATTCATATGTGCATACAAGGCTTGGTTCATTTCTCCCTCCTGCCCCCACCCCCTCCCTTACCACCCACTCCGCCCCCTCCATCTCCCCCCACCCTCAATACCCAGCAGAAACTATTTTGCCCTTATTTCTAATTTTGTTGTAGAGAGAGTATAAGCAATAATAGGAAGGGACAAGGGTTTTTGCTGGTTGAGATAAGGATAGCTATACAGGGCATTGACTCACATTGATTTCCTGTGCGTGGGTGTTACCTTCTAGGTTAATTCTTTTTGATCTAACCTTTTCTCTAGTACCTGTTCCCCTTTTCCTATTGGCCTCAGTTGCTTTTAAGGTATCTGCTTTAGTTTCTCTGAGTTAAGGGCAACAAATGCTAGCTAGTTCTTAGGTGTCTTACCTATCCTCACCCCTTCTTGTGTGCTCTCGCTTTTATCATGTGCTCAGAGTCCAATCCCCTTGTTGTGTTTGCCCTTGATCTAATGTCCACATATGAGGGAGAACATATGATTTTTAGTCTTTTGGGCCAGGCTAACCTCACTCAGAATGATGTTCTCCAATTCCATCCATTTACCAGCGAATGATAACATTTCGTTCTTCTTCATGGCTGCATAAAATTCCATTGTGTATAGATACCACATTTTCTTAATCCATTCGTCAGTGGTGGGGCATCATGGCCAGAAAACACATGAAAAAATGCTCACCATCTCTAGCAATAAAGGAAATGCAAATTAAAACCACGCTAAGATTCCACCTCACCCCTGTTAGAATAGCCATCATCAGCAACACCACCAACAACAGGTGTTGGCGAGGATGCGGGGAAAAAGGAACCCTCTTACACTGTTGGTGGGAATGTAAACTAGTACAACCACTCTGGAAAAAAATTTGGAGGCTACTTAAAAAGCTGGACATTGATCTACCATTTGATCCAGCAATACCACTCTTGGGGATATACCCAAAAGGCTGTGACACAGGTTACTACAGAGGCACCTGCACACCCATGTTTATTGTGGCACTATTCACAATAGCCAAGTTATGGAAACAGCCATATTGTTTTCTAAAGTGTACTAGCTTACACGCCCACCAGCAGTGTATGAGGGTTCCTCTTATTCTCATTTTGACTCTGTTCTGTTTGTTCTAAGCATCTGAGAGTTCCCAGAAGATACATGTGGTTGCAGGGAGGGGCATCAACTGCTAATGAGAATTGCAGTGTGGCTTTCAGTGTGCATTCAGGTAGAGAAGCTTAAAAAGCAAAACAGAAGATCTATTCTGATGGCCTCAGGTAAACTGAAGGAGGGCCTAAACCCACTCATATTTCTAGTAGCATTCCTCTGAACTGGTGACCATCACTTTTCTTTTGTCCCTGACCAACTGTCTCAAAATTCTCTAGTCTAAGGATTTTATTTGTCTATGTGAGCATCTGAACTACTCTCCCATTATAGCAAATACTTTGACTTTATATCTTTCTGCCAACATATACTGAAATAAAATGTTTCTTAAACTGTGTAAAATTTCCTAAACAGACTAACACAGAGACAGTAATTTTAAAGTGATTAATGAGGCTCTGAATTATCACTGTTTTTTTTTTTTTTTTTTTTGTCTCTGAAACTTTGTTTCACACAGAGTTATTTTCCTCCCTTTCCTCAAGTTCTTTTAATATACTGGGCTCTGTTCCAGCATAGTGTTTGTGTATGCCACTGCCTCTGATCAGAAAGTGTTTTTTACTTGCCCTCTCTTGCAGATTTAATCACTCTTTAGATCTTAGCTCAGAGAACATTTTCTGGGAAATTCCTCCTCCAAGTTCACAGAACCCTGTGTAGCCATCCAGTTAATGAGGCAAATGTACCTTTACTGACAGGAGGAGAAACAGAAGTGACCCACAGAGGACAAAGCCCTCTTCTGTTACAATGTTTCAATACACTCAGCTTTCCTTTGTAGCACTGACCATATCAAGTCATTATAAATTTTAAATGTGACAATTTGACTATCACCTCTCTCTTCTACTATTCTATAAGTTCTTTTGGGGGGAAGAGACCACAGCTAATTACTGTACTTCAGTGTATGAAATTTGGGCACATCTTGGAAGTTGCTGAAGAATTTTTGTAGAATTCCTAATTGTTTTCCTTGGAACCTCTAATTTTCTCATTGGATTTTCTGTCCACTTCTCAGAACTTCTTGCCTTTATTTAGGTTTTTATCTTGTTGATTTGTTGATCATTATTATAATTAGTTCTAAATTACTCAAATATTCCTCCAGTCTGTCTTCCTTCAGTGAGATCAACTGCCTGTTACATTCCTACATTCATCCTCTCTGAAGATTTATGGAGAAAAACCATGAGCTAGGCAGTTCAGCAATGCTATGTATTCATTATCACTTACTTCATGTGTTTGTAGCAATCCTATTACTTTCTTTAGTGGGATGGCCCCTATTCCTAATTCACTGCATTTACTATTTATATAGGTTTGAAGCTTAATGTTCACTTAACCAGTAAGTTTAACTTACAAAGAAAGAAAACAGGAACAAGCACATGGAGGATGAAAGATCAGCAAGTTCTCAATAGTGCCATCACAGGATTTTCTGGGGAATTGAATGGAAAATGTGGCTGAATTAGTCCAAGTACAAACTTTTTTTCTTGACTGAAGGGGGAAATAACAATACGTACTTGATTTGTGTCCCACATCTAAAGGAGAAGTTGGCAGAAAAGACTAAGGAGGAATGACTTTCTTTCTCCACTAGCATTCTGTATCCTTTCTCTGAGAACAAGTGCAACACTGCATCATTTAGGTTTTTGTGTAATGTTGGTTATCAAGCACAGCATTTTATGTATTGCTAGCCTTTGTGAGAAAATACTAGTTCTTTTTTCATTTTTATTAGCATATACTCAGTGTAAAGGGGAGATTGACTGTTAATCCAGATAGCCTTACATTGTACATTAGTGAGATGGCTCCAACCATTTCCCACCTCAACTTCCTCCCTTCCCCACTTAAAACAAATGCAAAAGGTTTTATTGTTTTATTTCATGTATATATACATATATATATACACACACATATGTACGTATATAATACAAAGCCCATCAACCATATTCCTTTACCTTTATCTCCTTCATTCATGTGCCCCAGCCACCCCCTCCCATGGTGCCTATTTTAAAATCCTATCTTTCATTTTTAATTTCAAAGTAAGTGTTCAAAGTAGTTTCTCAATACATGCTAGCTCTAAATATATTGTACTTTGGTCAGTTCAGCCTCCTCTCCTACCTTCCCTTACCCTTTCCCCCATTACCTATTATTCATAGCTTTCAGTGTGTATTAAATGCTGGTATAAATAAAATAAATTTACTAATGAATAAAGAACTTCTTTGCAGGTAAGTTCTTTTTTTATGCTGACAATTTTATTACAGTAATTAGAATTGCTCTATTTTATTATTAGTTTTACAATGCCGATGTATAGGGAAAAACATAGTAGTAT